AAATACTTCGGTATTTGCTTTCAATGGTGTGTATAGTTAAGTTACCCAAAGAAAGATATGTTGGTACGTTGAACAATGAGAGTTTCGAATCACAAAACCTGCAACATACCCTGATTTCTCTCTCTCTTCGTGTGGGACACCGACTCGTTCAACGAACCGATGAACCCTGGTGTCAGAGTTTTTCAACCGCTTATTACAAGTAGCAGGCCTCTGACATGGTTGTGTAACGACCGCCATCATTGACAGCAACCGAGACCGACGGCTTGATGTTTGATTTCTCTGTCAACATACCTTATTTAATATGCGCTACATTTTGAATTATACAATAATTTTTCACCCAATTCAAAAACTTCTTTTTTCTCTCGGAAAAGTGAAAAGTTACCAAACTTCGCGTTCGGTTCCGTTCCGAGCAATTTGCCCAGCGATTGGACTTCGAACAAATTTACATATTTTACACACTTTCCTTTCCTCTCAAAATACAGAGTTTACAGAAGGTTCAATCGACCCTATTCAGGATTTATGCAATTGTCACTTGTTACAAGCCAGGGTTCCTTAATCTGTCAAAAATTTTCTCAAAGTATAAGAATATCAAAACAGCAAAATCTGAATCTGATTGGAATCTGATATAAAAACTTCATATGATTCTGAGCAAATTTTAATCCAAGAAGTAAATATGACGTTCGTGCCAACCATCTTCTTAGTTACCTCGAGTTCTCCTGAGATTTCAGTTATTTCCAGATAAAGTCAGTAAGCGTCAAAATCGTCGGTAGTGCTGAGTGAGCCATCTGTATGGGCGCTACGCGCGCCGTTTCCATAATTTGTGCTTTCCTGTCCGGTTGGCTAACGAAGTGATGCCTCTGGAGTTAGGAGAGAAAAAATGAAGCAATGTTTTTGAAGTTCCTAATGTTCTTATTGATTTGTACGTGTTTTGATGGATTTTTAAAGCCAAGGGTCGTGGGTTGGTTGGTGTTGCGAATAGGCGTTGGATTTCAACGAATTTAATAATTTCGAAAATAAGTGGACTGTAAGATTTTACCGAACGAAAATTTGCCTGTAGATTAGATAATGAATATGACCGCGGCGCGAAACGAACAAGGTACAGAATAGGTGCCGAGGGTAAAAACAATGAATTAAAATACCACTGACCTTTTGATGTAGGTACGTTCGGCCGTAAGAAAGCGCCTCGACTCCTCGTTCTGGGGATCCCCTCTGCACTATGATCTATGCTCTGACGAATGTTCTATTAGTCCGATTTTAATAGTTCACCGCAGGTAAACTGAAGACATGCAAAATCCATAAAGTAAACTGCACTTTTGAGAAAGTCGAATGTGAGCAACACTCGCGACGATAATCGTTCGATAGATCGGGCCTTCTATGCGCGCGAGTTCACGGTGAGGCCGTCGGATGCTGACTGGCGATCAAGGGCGTGGAGGTCGCGAGTGCCGATGACCGTTGGGGCCGAAACTAACACAAAATGACGGTGGCATATAAAACATTGCCTCCGCGTCTCGAGCGACTACCTGTAACTTGTTCGCATGATTAAGGGTGTTTTACACTCGACGATATTTTCGAAGTAGCGAAGTAAGACCGACAGGCATATTTACGAACAGTTGGTATGCTATGAGGGTGTTATATACCTATTACAGTAAGTTTTACGATCCCTACTGCAGCCAGTGGTTCGACAGAGTTTAAACTAAAGTCAAGACAAAACAAAATGCAAAGATACCTATTATCAATCAATGTCAATGAATGATTCTAGCTGGAAAATATGGGCCACCAATTTAACGACGGAACCCTGTTTGGACTCTTAGGGAAACAAACATACTAAATTACCCCACCTCTACTAGGCTGGGCGCCTTGGGGGAAGCACAAAAAATGGGATATCTGCTTATATTTCGAAAACAGTGCTTTGTATAAAATTTTGTTGTACTGGACAATGAAAGCTTATGAAATGCTGTGTATGTTTGACAGTTTTACCTATACCTACCCAATCGTTGCCCAAAAAACTTTTGGAAATTCCAACCTTTAAGAAAAGGGAATTAGTAAAAACTGTCAAGTAGTCCAAATATGTAGAGAATATTTAATTAGCTTTCATTGTCCAGCACCAAAACATTTTGCACAATGTATCGTTTTCGAGATATAAAGCAGATAACCAATTCTATGCGCTTCCCCCATGGCGGCCAGCCTCGGAGTGATGATATTTTAGTATGTTTATCTACCAAAGAGCCCAAACAAAGTTCCATCGTTAAATTGATAATAAATAAATAATAAAGGCATTTATTCATTTTTAAAACTTAACCTAATTTACAGTTTTTTTAATTGCGCCAAACTGTAGGCACAGTTTGTTGGCGCTTGCGCTCATTACATTACACTTTACATTTTAATATTCTTGCCTAGCCACTAAAGATAATAAATTTTCTATCATGCAATTAAGTTTTAGTTATAAGTAAGTAAGTAGTTAATATAAATAATGTATGAAATGATTAATGTTCATAGATGGGTATTAATTAATTAGGTAGGTACACTTTCATCAAGCAGTATCTTTTTAAGTTTTGTTTTTAGTACAGGTTTACTTATGTTTTCATCCAGGATATTGATGGTGTTACATAATCTAGGTACAATACAGCGAAGAGTTCTTTCTCCGTAATAATTACAGCTTTTTGGTTCAATATACTTTTTTCTCTTATTGGCCCTAAGTGATCTATTAGTGGGTTTAACTATTTTATATTCATCGCAGTTGTACTGTTCTAAGGCTATCAAAAATTTCACTTTCTCGTGCACTGGTAGTATCCTACACACCTGGTACAGCTGTTCGTAGTTATCTTTGTATTTTTCTTTAGTATCCTTGCTAACAAGCATCTTTAAGAATCTTATTTGAATAGATTTAACTTGGTCCAAGTACGTAGGGAATGTTCTTCCGTACACACTCAAACCATAGTTTATGTATGATTCTACCAGTGCATGGTACACAGTAAACAATGTGGGCTTATTAAGTATAAATTGTAGGTTATAAAATTTTCCTAACATCATTCTTAAGTTATTACACAAATTATTGATGTGTTGTTTCCAACTGAAATGTATATCCACGGTTAGCCCTAAGTACTTATATTTATCTACTTTTTCTATTTGTGTACAATTGCAGGGACGCACGCAGTTATGAAGACAGTCGTAGGTATGACCTATTAGTGCGATAGTTTCGCTGTTTTTAGGCATGTACGGCGAGCGCACATGCATAATTTTAGTTTTGCTCACATTCAAAATAATACCGTTGTCATGTGACCATTTTAGAATATTATCTAAATCCAATTGTAACTTATTTTCAATCACTTTTAGATCTTTATGTGCATATATTAAACATGTGTCGTCAGCGTACATGTACACCCTACAATTACTAATGACATTAATTAAACTGTTAACATGCATTATGTACCCGACTGGCCCATACACCGAGCCAGTGGGAACACCTGACATTACGCTAGCCTCTTCCCCTGCAACCCCGTTTACAACTGTATGTATAGTTCTGCCCGTTAGGTAGTTATGAAAGAATTGATTCACCGGACCACGGATCCCACACTCCTGCATAGCTTGGAGTAGCAATTCGTGGTCCAGAGTATCAAATGCTTTTTTGAAATCTATAAATAGTATACCTACATGCTTTCTTTCATTTAGATACTCATTAACACAGTCCGTAAATTGAGATAACGCGGTTGCAGTGCTTCGGCCGCGCCTGAAGCCATGCTGCGCATCCGAAATTACATTATGTTTTTCAAGAAAATCACTAATTTGCTGTATTATTAGTTTCAGGATTTTCCAACTGGAATCATTCATTTACCACTCTATATGAGTTTTGTCAAGCAACCCAAATAACTTTATAAGGGTGCTACGAATTAGAAGCAGCATCTTGTATTGCATCTTTCCTAAACAAGTATGTTTCCAACACAGATTTATGAATGACATAATTTTCCAATTTTCAGATACAATGTTTCGTTGCAGAGGGCGTGCGAGCACAAACGATGTCAGCCGTCTTTCATATGTAGCATTCTTGGTAAGGTGATCGTGTTTGATGCTGGCGCGAAATAGCATCACCCCATTTTTTTCAACGGGTTTTGTAACAAACGCTAAGTAAGTCGAGAAAATTATGTTTTATTAAAATTCTAGCAATAAGCGGACAACCTTTCAATAAATAATTATATACTGTTTTCTGCAATAACACTGCATTTTTGGTCAGACTTGGCAATAACTATAATTTTTATATCCTTTCCCTTAAAAGATCTTCGTGAATACCAAATTTTAAAACACTTATTGTATTAGGTATATCTTAAGTTTTATCTTCAATAAAATATTTTCCAAACAAAAGATCTTTACGAATGAACGACATAATTTTCCAATTTTCAGATGCAATGTTTCGTTGCAGAGGGCGTGCGAGCACAAACGACGTCAGCCGTCTTTCATGTGTAGCATTCTTGGTAAGGTGATCGTGTTTGATACTGGCGTGAAATAGCATCGACCTATTTTCTTCCTGCGGGTGTTGTAGCAAACGTGTGAGTCAGTTGAGAAAATTGTTCTATTACAATTTTAGGAAAAAAGCAAACAACCTCTCTAAAGTCAAGTCTCTAAATGGTCATACACAGTTTTCTGCAATGACACTGCATTTTTGGTCAGACTTAGCAGTAACTACCATTTTTTATCCTATCCCTTACAAGATCTTTACGAATACCTACTAAATTTTGATAGACCTTTGATACGAAAAAAGATCTTTATGAATGAATGACATAATTTTCCAATTTTCAGATGCAATGTTTCGTTGCAGAGGGCGTGCGAGCACAAACGACGTCAGCCGTCTTTCATATGTAGCATTCTTGATGTGGTGATCGTGTTTGATACTGGCGCGAAATAGCATCACCCCTTTTCTTCACGAGTGTCATAATCATAACAAGCTGTGTCGGGAGTTAAATAAACGTTGTGAATAAATTGAAAATGAGAAAATTGATAAATTCACCGGCGACCGCCGGGACTTGAACCCAGAACCCACTGTGGATCACCGTTCCACCGCTCTACCAACTGAACTACGGGCGCCTAGCGGACCCTGGTGAATTTCTCAACCTCTCGATGCTCGTCTCGAAGCTACGATCCAGCGACAACGTTAAACGTTACAAAGATAATCACAATTTTAGGAGTTGGGCTTACAACCTGTCGCAGAATTGTCACACAAAATGCGAGCTCAAACGATGTTGTCCGTCTTACTCTTATTATTATGCATTTTTGTTATATCAGTCGTGTTTCAAACTAGTTTTTGTAGTTTTGTGTGTAGTATTCTTGTTCTATGGTGCTGCTGCAAAATACCATCGCCCCATTTCTATCCAAGGGATGCGCAGTAATCATAGGTACATGAAACCTATGACATAATTTTCCACAAAAATAAACTTTTCACACCTTTTATTTTGCTACACTGAATCTCGAATCCAACTACCTTTTTAAGAGTTCCACATTCAAATATTGCACTGTAGGAAACGTCGTATCACGGGAGAAATCAAACGCCGGAACCGGAAAAGAGCGTATTTTTCGAATTTGAATTCCGAACTCCGGCTACTTCCGGCGGAAACTTGAGCTTTACGAGATGGAAGTTTTAAACGGAAGCTCAGATTTATACGATAGTTACTCGCACTTTGTAGCAACGTTGAGTTATTTCAGCTTTCAGATAAATGTAGGATTGTTCATAAAAATTGCGCATGCCAAAACTATCTGCGTTTTAGTACCATTTTTACCATCAATGAAAGGTGTACATTATTATACTAGAATGGATAAGTAACCGGAGTATCGTAGAAGGGGGAACTCATAAAAGTTATTGCAAAAAGCAAAATGACACGTGTGCAGATTTTCATCAATATTCAACCTAGCTTGACTTATGCATACACACATACTACGCCTATACTCTTGCAGGGTTGTAAAAAACCAAAGTCATTTACACCACGTCTGACATCTTGAGAGTCATTCAGAAGACAGTGTATCACCATTGTAACAGCAGCCTGTCGCCTAAAATTGCCATACACATCAACTTTTAAATCCCTTAGTCGCTTCTTATGACACCTACGGTAAAGATATGGGGTGATGCTATTACATATGGACTATTAATAGTGTTTAAAATTATTAAAACAAAAAAAGTGTGAAACCCTGAAGCAACGCCTCTATTCGTTGTTTAGCTAGACGCAAGAGTCTCTTTTGTTTTCTCAGATAATTTTGCAGTTTTATGCAGTCCTCTCCCTCAATCCCACCCGAAATATAAAAATCTCAACAATAACTCACAGACAGGTAAAAATCACAATATTCGCCGAAATATCTCCATTCCGTGAGACGAATGCCCGAAATCGAGTGGTAAACGCAAAATAATAAATTCCACAAACATAACAAATTCAATATAAATAGTTCTGCTCCGAGGGTCTGGGGTACCCCTCCAGCTACTACATTTATCTGTATTAGGGTTGGATGGTTTCATTCAGAAAAGGTCAAAGAAATGTTCACTTTTTTGATCGGGTCGTTCTACGACTGTTTGTCCCACGCGATTTAAGAAAGATAGAGTGAAGGGTAGAGTGGCCGAGGAATTCTGGCTCAAGCCTATTCGTGTCACAAAAAGCGACCGAGGGATGAAATCTTTTTCGTGTGGGACACCGAGTCGTTCAACGACCCGATAAACCCTGGTGTCAGAGTTTTTCAACCGCCTACTGCAAGTAGCAGGCCTCTGACATGGTTGTGTAACGACCGCCATCATAGACAGCAACCGGGACCGGCGGCTTAACGTGCCCATCCGAAGCACGGAACCAACTTACTTTTCGGCCATCCAGGTGGTTCAGCCTGCAATGTCATTGTCAGACTGGGATCAAATTCACAAAGTGATAAATATCAACATTGTGAGTGACTCCACCGGGAATTGAACCCGGAAGCTTCTGCGTGGCAGGCAGTCATACTAATCACTGCGCCACATCGGTTTCAAAAGCGATGTCCTGTGCGATAAAAGAAAGAGAATAGGGTAGAGTGGCCGGGCTGTGGGATTCTGGCTGACGCCTATCCGTGTCACGAAAAGCGACCAAGGGATAAAATTAAGATAATCTAAAAACAGCATCTTGCACTGCACCACGCCTGCATGGAGGCTTATGGATTATATTGCAGCTATCAATGCACATGAAATTCATTAACCTAGCCAACATCTGGTCTTACAGGTCTGGCAAATATAAAATACAACAAATTGCCAAAACCCCGTCCTTATTGATAAAGTCTCAAGCTCTGAAAAGCAAACATTCGGTGCTTTATTTTTATATTTTTCAAGTCATTTATTCATGTAAAAAGTTACGGGAATCTATAAAATAAACACGCCAAACTGCATACGCAGTTTATCGGCGTTGCGCTCTTGTTAATTACAAATTAATCCCTCCACCACTTAAATTCCTATTTAAACTTTTCATTTCTATCTAATCCTAACATTACTTTTTTGCTAAAGAAAGATATATCGTCTAAGTGAGACAGCCCAAAAGGTTTCATCAGCGCGTTCATCTATCAAACGAAAAGAATAACTGCAAAACTATCTACTATCTTGTTACTCGACTGCCTCAGAAGGAGGTTTATGTTTTTCGAGAGTATGTATGTATGTATGTGGACAAGAAAAATCTTTTTCACGGGCTACAGCCCAAACGGATAGTTGGATTTTGACATATCTGGCGTCTTTAGATTTGTCTCAGCAGCGCGAGTGACACTGGCTATATTAAAAAAATATAGATTCAAGATGGCGGATTTTTACAGCAAAAATACTACTTTAAAACTACCGCAGTCGAGTTTTTTGTTTTTTAACACATCTACTCGTTTCTCTCTAGTATGAACCGTCCACAATTTAAAAGAAGCAAATCAATGTCACGTACTATGATGCATGCCAGAGACGTTTTGGCCACGTTCGTCATTCTTTGCGCGATATATCACCGGTGATATTGTAGTGTTTTGTGTGATATTGTGTTCTTTGGGAAACGACGGTTTGATGGGCACACCTGAGGGGGGATTTCGTTGGAGTTGTAGGTTTTTTGTGGCGCTTTTATGTGTACGTTTAAGCCTATAGGACGAGAGAAGTGACTGTTTTCGGTGACAGTTAGGAAGCCATTAAAATTTCGAAGCAATCGCACTTGACTTTCCACAGTAACTCAAATTAGCTGATCGGCAATTGTGTATGCGAGGTCCAACATTTTTTTTTTCGTATTTCGGCCTATGTTCCTTGGGGAAAGTTGTTCCTTATCACCAGCCGGTTTTGAGTTTCCGCTATCGGTCACTAGTAAAATTTCACCCCATATTCAAGTAGGTATAAAATGTAATTATGGCCGCGGAAAAAAATGTTTGACAGACTGCCTACCTCGAAAGATTTCAAAGGACGACGTTGACTACGTTACTTAAAAACACGATCCCAAATCGGCCCTACCACAAACGAAATCACCATTACCCATGCTTAACTTCGCCAATACAATACGACTTCAATCTGTCACCCCATTTACATACGTACCCTTACATCACCACAGATCTGACATGTTTATCTCAGAGAAACGCATCAATAACGCACGTCGTTTAGGCGTACCCCTCACACGAAAAGATCACATTTGATATACATCAAGAATCGAACATTAGCCCGACTTGAGAACGGGTGTATACGGGAAGCTATTTCGAACACAAGAAACGTAAAGAAAACAAAACTTCCACACGAATATGTCGAAAAAATTCGGGCGTTCCGTGTCGTTACTGTGAATTCTAATCGCATTCGATCGGTGAAACTAGTAGCTTAAGAATTGAGGCAAATCAGACATGTTTATCTCAGAGAAACGCATCAATAACGCACGTCGTTTAGTTTGTCCCCCTCACACGAAAAGATCACATTTGATATACATCAAGAATCGAACATTAGCCTGAAGTTAGAATGGGTGTATACGGGGAACTATTTCGTACACAAAAATAGTAAAAGAAACACATAAATGGAACGTAAACTTGCAGCTTCAAGTATATAGTAGGTAAGTACGTGGCTGACTGTCGGACTTAGTTTGTTTAGAAAGGACATTGCGGGCCAACATAAGTTATTTTCAAAAAGCATGTTCAGAAGTCAGTGTTGGAATTACATCCGAGGCCTACTAACTACCTAGTAGAAAGTTTCAAACACTCTGAGGCCAATTTTCATTGAAATGCCACAGATTATTGTATTGGTTATGCGTGTAAACTTACAACGCAGGGATAAAACTGTAGATAGGTAGGTAAATACTGTGAAATCTCTCTCTCTTCGTGTGGGAAACCGATACGCTCAACGACCCGATGAACCCTGGTGTCAGAGTTTTTCAACCGCCTACTACAATTAGCAGGCCTCTGACATGGTTGTGTAACGACCACCATCATATAGACAGCAACCGGAACCGACGGCTTAACGTGCCCATCCGAAACACGGAACCATCTTACTTTTCGGACAATCAGGTGGTTCAGCCTACAATGTCCTAACCAGACTGGGAACAATTCACAAAGTGATAAATATCAACTTTGTGAGTGACCCCACCGGGAATTGAATCCGGAACCTTCAGCGTGGCAGGCAGTCATATTAACCACTGCGCCACATCGGCTGTCAACTGTGAAATATTAGCTTGACACATAATTCACACGTATGTTTCCAAACACACAAAAAGAGACCAACAAAAGCCATTCCACTCAAAACCTCGCTTTCTTGCCCACAAAATAAATCTGCAAGTAGCATAACAACACATGTACCAATCTTGACACTTGCCAATGGAAAAGGAATTGTAAAATAAAATCAAATGCAATTTGTGAAATCTGCTCTCAATTTGTTCACCGAGTGTCGTTCGCTCGGAGCGATATCTGATACTCGTATGGAAAATGTATTGTCAAAAGAAATGTATCGTAATTTAATAAAAAGAAACTATACAGGGTATTAATTTAATTGCGTACCAAAGCTTAAGCGTAGGTTAAGTAACGATAAACGATGCCGTAAAAAAATCGTAGACAATTTTTTGTTCCCCTAAGACGAAATTTGATTCTAATGTCTTTATCTCAGC